AGCTCAAAGGCATCAATTCTCCTTCTATCTTCCTTGGCATTGTCCAACTCTCTGATGCAAGAGAGACTAGGGAGCTCTGGTGGTCTAGTGGTAAGAAGCTGCACTGCCATTCCAGAGGTACATAGTTCAAATCCACCAGATGCTCTGCTGGAGAAGGAGGGGCAATCTCCTCCTGTACCAGTCAGAACCAATCTGATGGTACACACACAAAAATAATAAAATTTAAACTAAAAAAAAAAAAAAAGGACTAAACTGACTGCAGCTGGTGTGGAGCCAGCCCAGAGGGATGCCAGCAGGACACGTTACCCCCCAAAAGAGTGTATTTCTGTATAAGTGGCAGGTGTGAGGCAGCCCTGCACTGAGCACGTGTCTTGGTGACATTTTCCCAGCACCCTTTGCTCTCTTCATGTCTCTGGGTCCTATTTTCATGCTCCTTCCAGCATCTCAAAGGTCATCATCATGCTATTACATGCTAGCAGATTACAGCAAAGTGACAGCACAACCTTTCTATCTTCTGCGAAACCTAAGAAGTCAAGTGACTCGCTTTACTGTGATATGGACGTCCCTATAGTGTTCTGGGACCGAGCCCACAATATTGCCCAGGTCGGCCCGGATATCCTGTCATACAAGGATAGATGATGAACGTACTTTATTAAATAGTAGACAGTGGATGGCGGAAAATACAGTGTAACGTTATCCTTTTAAAATGCACAGAAGGAAACCAGGAGGAAGAAGCAGTACACGCCCAATTTAACAGCAGTCCGGACTGACGCGCTGACTGGAGAAGCGAGGTTGGGTCTGTCGGAGACGATGAGATTGGCAGGGCAGGGTCCTGAGCTGTTGTGCACAGGCTCGCTGTGAGTCACAGGTGACTCGACGGCACACAACAACAACAACAACAACAACAACAACCCAATCTCTGGGTGTTACACTTTCACTGTCTTGAATTTCAGTACCTGCTTATATAGGCTTTGTGTGTGTGTGCTGTGTCTGCTGTGGGGCCCCAGACCCTCCGGGGCCCTCAGATGTGACCACCGCCCCTTCTTTTCCCCGGCTCTGCACCCCAAGAGCGCAGAGTCTCTGGGTGGTTGCCCAGGTTGGGGATGGAGGAGGGAGAGCACCCGGTGGCCAGGACCCACCATGGTCACGATGTAGAAGGTCATGAAGTACAGTCGGCTCCAGTGGGAGGTCTGCGAGGTGACGCCTTCCTGGGGACAGAGGGACAGACAGAGGGATGGGGCCGCACGCTGAGCCTGGGCAGGGCCGTGCAACTGTCCAGAGCCAGGTGCCACCGGGCTGTTTGTAGACCCCTTTGGTCAGCCTTTGGTTGTGGGGACCCTGCTCACATGTCCTCTCCCTGCCTACATCCTGGAGGCCTCTGGGACACTGGACTCGGTATGAGGCTGGGGTGCAGGACAGTTTAAGGAGTGGGGGACAGAACCCCGCTCCCTCTTGTGCAGGGACAGGAAACAGCCTCAGAGGCTAAAGGGCCCTGGCCGTGGGAAGGACATGGGACAGGAGCGGTATCCATTAAACACGAGGGAGAGACGGCCAGTGGAGGTAGCCCACGTCCAGGGCTCCCCGGGACGTGCTGACACCGGCCTCCCCAAAGAACATACCAGCAGATTCAGGACTCCAGGGTTGAAAAGTCGGGAGACAATGTGCCCCACATTGAATGAGGAAGGGAGACACAGAGCCAGACTCAGCACAGTGAGAAACACCCAGCAGCTGCCCGGGACCCTTACCATGATGATGTACCAGTTGTTGACGACCGTGAGCTCGAACAAGGTCACTGCCAAGGGGAAGGAAGGCACAGTGTCTGCATCAGGACCACTTCTTTTTTTCTGGCAGCCACTTCCACGGTGTCCCCACGGCTGGCTCAGGCTCTGAGCTCCAGGAGGGAGCTGCCAGGGGCCCTGAGCACCTGTTTCGGGGACTTTGGCCACTGTGGCCTGTCCTCAAAAGGCCGTGTCTTGATGGGCCAGGGCTGTGGCTCTGGGGTCCCAGAGGGCAGGGTGGAAGCATCCAGACTACCGGGGTGCGGTTCTGAGGGTGCAGCGAGGGCTCCCCTTTCCTTCTGAGAAGCGGCACAGGCCGCGGTTATGCTGACTGAGTGGGTCTCACCCTCCCAGCTAAAGCATGATGCTCTGGGATAAAGTGTCCTCCCCCAAGGGCATGTCCAGTGACACGAAACACACCCCCCTCGCCCCGCCAACTCTCCCATAGCCGCCCGGCTCACCAAAGCTGTTGAGGATGTTGTCGAAGTTGTTGAGATAATAGTAGCCTTCCTCCACCACCGTCCTGTTGCCCACTGTGTGGTTGACCCAGCGGTAGGCGTCCGCGACGGTGCTCATGCTAACCGGGGAGACAGGGGCGGACAGCGGGTGGTCACAGAGCAACCGTCAACCCAATAGGAGACAGAGTCCCAGGAGAGGCTGGGAGCAAAGGTCTGGCTGGCTGTCTCCTCGCGGGGTCCCTGTCCTCCTCCTCCCGGGCTCTGCAGATGGAAGGGGCCTCTGCACGTCACTAGGACCGGTGCCACCCGGCTTGGTGATGCATGGCTCCCCACAGCTCCTCCTCTCTCCCCCTCTCTGCCTGCACCCTCACTAGTGGGTGGTTGGAGGCAGGGGGTGTGTGTCACTGCGATGGGTGATGGGTGAGAGCATCCCCAGGGCTGTCAACTCCCTCAGCAGCCCCTCCCTGTCAGCCACCAGTACTGCCCTAGACTGAGGCCAGCTGGGTGTCACGCCTCTGACAGGGTCAGGGGTGAGGGGTGCAGCCACATCCCTGCATCCCTTAGTGACGTCGCTCAGTCCCTGGCTCCCCTCATTGTCTGGGGAGCCCTCAGGTTTGCCTCTCCCGCACCCACCTTCACCCATCGTTTGCTGCTGGCTAGGCCTTCACATTCGGGTGCACAGGGGCCAAATCTGGGGCCACACAGGGGCCAACGCTGAGGCTACCACTGGGGCCACCCCAGATGGTGGTGCCCTGTGTCAGCACGGCCTCTCCTACTTATGTCTGAGCGTGCCACATGCTTTCAGGGGGGCCGTCCCTGTCTGGTGACCTCATTTACCACTCTCCTCCCAGTCCTGCGCGCCTGTCCCGTGGAATCTACACCAACAGGGAGCTGCCTCTGATGGTGGGGTCGAAGACTCTCACCAGACACCCTGCATCTAAGAGCGCGGGGAGCTGGGATTTGCTTTTAAGACGCTCCCCAGCGATTCGCATGTCCTCTGAAGCCCGCAGACTACGGATCGGACTTCCAGCTCCGCCATCAGACTGCTGCCCCCAAGGTAACCTGGGCCTTCTGGAGAGGGCTGTGTTACCAGTGTGCAGGGGGCCTGGCCTGAGGCAGAACTCAGCGGGAGACAGTAAATGAAATTTGCACTGACATCCGGGGTGGCCAAGGCGCCCAAGGAGCGTGGATGATTAAGCAGCGATGTGAAGCGAAAAGTGGGTGGTATGAACCATCTAGTTACTCTGTAGGCGGCTCTAGTAGCTTTGTGGTAAGGAATTACGCAGCCAAACCAAAGGCACAGGGTTCGAATCCACAGATGGGCAATCTCCTCCTGTAAAATTAACTGTCTCTGAAAAACCGCTGGCGGGCCAACTATGGTTGGTTCCAACCTCATGGTACATAGCAACTGTGGGGAGTTAAGCTGCTAACTTAAAGATCACTCCTCTCCGGTGGTTCAAATCCACCAGCAGCTCCTTGGAGGAAGCTCGTCCATCTCCTCCGTGTGACTTCGCCTCTCGGAAATCCAATGGAGCAGGAGAGACCAAAAGAGAAAGGTGGAAGTCTGCTCCCCAAAAGCCTGCCAGCTTCAGAGACACTATGGCCAAGTCCTGGGTTCCCCAGAGTCACTCGAAACTGAAATCAACTTGACAGCAGTGGATGTGGGGAGGGAAAGAGCATGGGAAGGATGGGGTCCTGGGGGGGCTGCCTCCTGCTCTCTGGGTGTTCATCTGACTTGTCCTGGCAGCCTGACCGCGTGAAATAGTCCTCTCCTCGGTCCCTGAGCAGTTCTAGCGATGGGTGGGGCGACAGGTGGGCCTGAGGCTCCTCCGGGTGGCAGGTCTTTGTCCACCCCCACCCGGCCGGCCAGGCACAGCTCCCGGGCCCCCCTCAAGGCCAGAGGTGCTCCAGCATCCCCGCTTCAGGGCCACCTGGCTGACCAGGACCCCGGGCTCAGCTCCTGCCCTGGGCGAAGCCCAAAAGGCAGAACACAGTGACTCGACTGGACAAGGGGGACCAGGCTTTCGAGGCGCCGCGGCTCGGGGATACCAGGGCCTCAAGGCCATGGGGGCCACTCACTTGCAGCAGTTGGGGTAGAGGATCCCACAGAAGAATTCCATGCCCACGATGGCGAAGGAGTAGTAGAAGGTGAGGAGGGTGAGGCCCAGGCTGGGGAGAGGGCGACAGGGGTGCGTGAGTGATGAGGGGGCCCCCACGGCTCAGCCCCGCCTGCCTGCGGACGGACATGCCCCTAGCTGGGGGGTGCGCCTGCCGGGGAGTGGGGAGCTCACGATTCAGGACTCTGACCAGACGCCCCTTCACCAGAGACACCCCCCCCTTACCTGTGAAGGTAGACTCACAGGTGCCCCCTTACCTGTGAACGTAGACACAGGTGATAAGTGAGGGGACATCTCCCTGCCCTCCCCACTAAAGCACTCCAGACGGGCTGTGTGGTGGGCGGGGTCTCGTCCTCCTTGAAGACCCCCCTCGTCCCCCCCTCCCCACCCAGGCCCTCAGTTTCCGTTCTCCTCGGGACTCCCCCGTCCCTCTGATGCCTCCAGCCCCGTGACCCTAAGGGGCGGCCTGCAGAGGCCGGGTGGGGCCCGGAGGCCGGCAGTACCTGGCCATCCTCGGCAGCAGCTCAAACATGGTGTCCAGCACGTTGCGGTAACGCTTCTTCAGTTTAAACAACCTGAAGGAGGGAGGGAGGGATCATGGGACTTAGAGACGCAGGGGCCTGGCCGCGGCCACCTCCTGCAGAACATGCTGGAACTCCACCTTCCTCCCACCCTGGGGGGCTGCTCGTTGACTTCAGGGCCTCAGCTAGCGCATGGGAAGGGGGCCACTGGGACACGGGCGGGAAGGGGACCCGTCCCTGAGGACAAGGAGGCTGCCCTGTTTCTCCTCACTCGTCCTCGTCCCAGCATCTAACTCAGGTGAGAAGGTGGCTGTTAACAACCCAGCACGGTCTACACAGGAGGCTCCGTGCGGGACAAGCATGGGTCATGGCGTGCGGAGACCCTGAGCGGCAGGTCTGAGCCCCCAGAGACAATGGTGTGCGCTGGGCCCAGCTCTCCGGCCGCCTGAGGCCTCGGGAGAAAGGACGCCTGGAGACCACCATCCACAGCTGAGCTTCCCCCGGAGAGGAGAGGACGGCTGATGGACGGGCGAGAAGAAACACCAGGCCTCTCGGGAACTCGAGGGCCCTAACCTGAGGGTCACTAAGTCTCCGAAAATCCCTGAGTGGAGAGACGTGTGAGGGGCCTTCTCTGCCAGAGAAGCCTCAGCTATGGACTCTCGGACCATCTTCCCTCAGAGCGGGTGGGCCTCTGGTCTCTGTGTGTTTCTGTGGCCACAGCTGAGGCCCACCCTGGCAGCTGCCCCCATAGGGAGGTCCCTGTCAGAAGCCGGGGGTGGGGGTAAGGGGACCACCTCCTCTGGGGAGACGCTGCCCCACGGAGGGGCTGGAGTAGGGTGCTGACCACACCAGCTGTGGGTCTTCTGCCTCGTCCCTGGGCCCACCACCCCACCTCAAAGCCCCCGTCTGGTCACCTCAACAGCTGGAGGGGGCGCAGGACCACTATAAAATAGAAGGGTTCCATGTTGAAGGCCAGCGCCAGCAGCCCCAGGAAGGCGAATGCTGTGACCGAGAAGTCAAACCTGCAAGCGAGAGGGAGGCACGGTCCACTCAGCCCACTCGAGCCTCCCTCTAGGCCAGGCCATGTCCCCCAGGCTGGGCCACATCGCTCAGGCCAAGCCACGTCCCCCAGGGCAGGCCAAGTCCCCCAGGCCAGGTCACGTCCCAGAGGGCAGGCCATGTCCCCAGGCCGGGCCACATCCCCCAGGCCAAGCCATGTCCCCTAGGCTGGGCCACGTCCCCCAGACCGGGCCACGTACCCCAGGGCAGGCCAAGTCCCTCAGGCTGGGCCAAGTCCCCCAGGCCAAGCTATGATCCGCAGGCCGGGCTGTGTTCCCCCAAGCTGAGCCTTGACCCACAGGCCAGGCCACATCCCCCGCACTGGACCATGTTCCCCAGGCCAAGCCACATCCCCCAGGTCAGGCCACGTCCCACGTTCCCCAGACCAGGTCATGTCCCTCAAGATGTCCTGTATCACCCAGGGTGGGCCATGTTCCCCAGGCTGGACCCTGTCCCCACAAACCAGGCCACATCCCCCAGGCCGGGCCCTGTCCCCACAAACCAGGCCACATCCCCCAGGC